AGTCCGAGCTGATGGTTATGGCCATCGCAAGTGACCATTAATCTGATTTGATGGAAATAATTATACTGATAGTCTTTCGTTTCGCAGTAAAAATAATTATCTATAAAATAGTAGTAGATGCAGCTCAGTGATAAGTTCAGTAACGAATAGTGACAACAAGCGCGACCTTTTTTCGAATTCTATGTGGCGCGCGTTTCATCGACAAACCGTCGATTGAAAATCAAACCGCAATATCGCAGTTCGTGTATCCGATCATCGAGGTTAAATTTGATGACGGAATTACTGCTATTCACGGAAACAGTGCATCGATGCGTGCTATTGTTCTCTTTGTGACACCAGAACAGAATCGAACTATTAAATATTAAAGAAAATCGATACTCTTGTGCAGACAGAGAGAGAGGGGAGGGGGGAGGCGGGAGAGAGTAATTCAGGATACCACCCTCGCGTTGGATAATTCGACGTGGGTAAGAGAGAGAGGGGGGAGGCGGGAGAGAGTAATTCAGGATACCACCCTCGCGTTGGATAATTCGACGTGGGTGTGGAAAGCACGATAATATACTAAACTATAATAAACGCATGAACGTAACGGGCGATCAACTCAACGCTTTGTCAACGTTATATCGCGATGAAATAGATGCACTTCGGTTAGGTTTAACACATTTAGACACTACGCAACGTGAACTCGGAAAAGATAACGTCACTTACGTATGTTAGCCCACTCGATCAAAGTTGATGGGCACCTTGCGAGTACCGGAGGTACTCGGGGAACAATACACTTCCGGCGCGGCTGACAAAGACGCACGGCACGTATACCGGAGGTTCGGCATCGACGGGAGGAAGGCCGGAGAGGAGGACGTACGTTTGATTCCGTATAGGACGGTGCAATACATCTCTCCTCGGTTTACCGGTCGCTCGCTGAGACGGAAGTGTATCGTGCCCGACGAAGCGGGCACATCCGGCTCGCAAGATTAATTGCCAATAAACCTCTATTACAGAGACCTCTTCCCGCGCCGTCACTCTTCTCACGATATCGCGTCGTTTCCCGGTCAATCGCTTCGTACGCAACAACGTCGATCGCCTCTACTTTTTCGAGACCCTTTGATGAGAATAACGAGATAACCTGGAAATTAGATTATTCAGTGTCACGCTTTTGCAACGGAGAAAAAAAGGGCGTGCAAAAAAAAATGCGGTGAAAAATTATTGATCATATAAAAGATAATTTATGATAGAAACGATGTAACACAACTCAGAGACGCGCAATTTATTTCTCTCGGTTATAACGATTTACAGCGACCATCACGATTATTCACGCAATACGAGCTGTCTCGAAACAAAATGCGCTGTCTCGCAAGAAGATTGATAATTTATTACCCTGAAGCGTCTAAATTTATTCTACGTCTTGAAAATTTGGTATTAGAAAGATTTGTACGGTAAAAGAAGATATACAAAAAGCGTGTATTTCCATTTCAATTTAAATGTTTTACATTTCAATTGACATAGTGTGAAAAACATTACTAACAAATTGTTAAAGGTATGCACGTGTTTTTAATTATGTGATGCATGACTTCGCGCTTGGAAATTGCGTTTATGCAAATGCGGTGACTATCTGAAAAATTTGACATAGAAAAATGATACCAGTTTGCGTGCTTAGAAGCTGCGTGATTATGCATGCAATAAATCTCGCTTCGAAATCGCCAAGTGAATGCTTAGGAACACGTGCGAATCGATCGTAGCCTATCTTGCACCTCCGCCTGGTAATCGAGGGAAATTGCTTTCATCTGAATTCAAAAGCATGTACGGGAGATCAAAGTTCTTACGTGCCGACGATGACGAAACGAACGGACGATGGTGCGAAGAACTTATCACGCGAGCGTCGATTAAAGTTTCCACCTTGCACCTGGTTTCATGAATTTCTCAACCATGATTGATCGTTCCGAAGCGCTTTCAAAATTGTCATCTTCGGTTCGAACATATTCTGAGCGAATGTTAATAAAGGATGACAAGTATAATATTACTGGCGCCTCATGAATAATTTTTATATTAATCCGAACATTAGTTTTCTCTTCTTTTCCGTGTGTGAGATATAGATTCGTTGTGATTGACATAATACGCGTAATTTGGAAGCCGACAATATCTGAACCGTAAGAATATACGGACGGAAAAGTTTACCGCTTATGAACATCGACAGAATCGATACCCATATCACGAAGGTATGGAGGAAAAAGAGGACGGCTGAATGAAAGAGAGGGTAAATTGATGGAACGCTCCGATTAAAAGCTAATGACATCGCGTTTCTACGCGAATGACGGCTTCAAAGGAAAGCTTTTTCTGAAGTTCGCTGGCTTGACAAACGATCGTAAGACCAACAAGAAACGATGTCTGGCGCGAACCATCTTAATGAAATGGTCTTAATTGAACCAATTGATTAATTTTCTGTATATTAAATATAAAAAATTATTTAATATGTAATATTTCTAATTGTTTATTATTGTTTAATATTGTTTAATATTTCTAATTTAATATATTTTTATTAATAAACAAGGAATATGTGGATGATAATAAATGTAATAAACAAAAATAAAGAGATTAAATTATTTTAATAATTTGTAAGTTAAGATATACAAACATATACAAAGTATAAGAAATAAGTATCTTATTACTATTTTTTCATTTCTTTATAATTTATTCATTTATTGCTCTTATACAAGGTGTTTACAGACCTAACGCATCACCTACTAATGGCACATTCCTGAAGTTATTTTGAGATTAAAATTTTAATATCAAAATGTCGAGGCTATAATATTTTTTGAATTATAATTATTTAAAGTCAACAAATTATGCCGTCTAAAGTTTAGTACAACGCAAAGTGCTAAAAGTAAAAGCTAATAGTTGCTCTTGTTAAATATTTATTATGTTAAAAAAAAATATTTAGCCTGTACATTATGATATTAAATTTTTATCTCAAAATGACTTCAGGAATCTGCTATTAGCAGGTGATGCGTTGGATCTGGAACACCCTGTATATGTTTGGTAAACAAAAATATAATAGCATCGATCTCTGGCTATTATTATTGCTACTACTATTATTATTATCATCTATTATCAACTAGCGAACTACGTGATGGAGGTCTAGCTCCGAAAAGCGGATATTTGTTTGGACGAGTCTATGGAAGTCCATGAAAGTCCACAAATCTGAGAATATCCTTCCTAGATTTATAGCAATCTCTGTAATACCCACAATTTCCAAAAAGAGTGGACGTGCGGGAATATGTCACTCTCTGTGCGACCGTTTTCTCGGGAAAATCCTGCTCTTTCATATAGCAGTACGTGCATCGCGCTTGACATATGCCACAAATTATTATTTTGACGTTTCAGATCGCCCCTTATTCCTGCATCAGAAACTCCCAATTCCCGTGTCTCGCGAAATCATGATGCAAAAGCTTTCATCAATCATTTCAACAAAATGAAAATATAGATGACCGGCGACAAGAAAAATTATGCAGAAAAAGGACGGCCGCTCTGGAGCCGAGATACATTATTGTCTTCGCTTTTTTCCCCGAGTTACATTGCGTTTTTCACTTCCCGACTGTCCAAGAGATGGATATTAATTAGCAAGTAGCAGTAACAATATACGTGCTCAAGCACGAAATAACAAAGGGATAAATGTCGTTAATCGTGGAACATTTAGAACAATTGCTGCACAGAATGTAGATTTTTCTTTCGCCGAGGGAGCAATTAGAGAGTCTCTATATTTAAATTTTAATGCCAGCTCTCAGTACGTTTTGATGTACCATTTAGGGGAACCAGTGATTCGTTACAATATATTAAAAAGTCATATTACTGGCGGAATTTATGTCATCAAAAATGACTAGCAGAGAAAATTTATTTAACCTGCGATGATATATAACGATCACAATGTAATAGCGCACTCAGTTACTCGTATAAATCTTCATCGTATTTCTCCACCATAATTTGTGATGTCTCTCTTATCTTTACACACAGATAAGTTCATGCTTTTGTATCAACCGTAATATAATTTATTAGGAATACGGGCTTAAAATCTTTTACATATTTCGTGTCCTGTTGTTACTTATTCACTTTTCGGCTACCCGGTGAATAAAGCCGATGCTGTGGGTGTCGCCGCATCTGGCACCAGGGACAATTAGAAGGACTCATGAGCCATTGGAATTAACACTCACAACGGCGCGGGTGAATATTTACCGGCGCGTTATGCGGCCCGTAGTGTGCGTGGGCTTGTTCAAGAGACAATAGACTTGCCGAGTAAGCCGTCCCGAGAAGCGCGACGGTACACCGAGAATATCCTCGTCGAAGATCGTACAGACGCTTGCCGTAGAGATACTAGGGGAGGACATTATATATCGGTGATTATATCGGTAGATGCTGATAGTGAGAAAATGGAACCTCCATGTCAGCAACTGGAGGGTACCACTCCAGGCCTCATTGACCGACCTCTTCACCTCATGCCAAGAGGACAATACCGATCTCGAAAACTTGCGACAATCGAGCAGCCAATTTTCTTTGGAAAAAAGAAACTCGTTCGTCAACTTCAAATGAACGTGACAATTTATTTCAGAACAAAATCAAACGGATATAGCATACTAATTCTCCGAAATTGACACCAAAATCTTTAACACAGTTATTGACAATGAGTCTGTAAGGCTCATTTAATTTCTGTTGATTAAAAAACACTAATTAACTTTAAGGAACCAAAATGACATAACTTGTATAAAAAAGAATAAATATTACATATATTTTAATAAGAATAATTTAATATGAATCCATATTTGTGGAAGTAACATAAAGAAAATTGAACCGTTCGACATTTTTTACAAAGAAATTTATAATTGAGTGAATTCGAAAGATCTACTGTCAGCTCCGAAGGGTTATAATTATAAAATATCAAGTATATTTATTATTAATTAAAATATTATACTACTGTACTACTATGATCTAATGATAATGGTCGTTGTTGATTTCAGATTGTTGACTTTTTGCTACTTGGCAGCATTGAATTGTTGGTTGCTGCTGTGTCCGGCTATACTCTCGCACGATTGGCAGATGGGATCTGTTCCTTTGGTTACATCTTTTACGGATACCAGAAATCTCGCCACCTGTATATTCTTCGGCGGTTGTCTGGTTCTCACGTACAAAGCCTTTACGGATTTCGAGGTGAGTAAAATTTTATAATCGCAGATTACAATTAAATTATTATATTACAATTAAACGGAATATTTACATACGAATTGCGAGTAACGCACAAATATTCTTTCAAGTTGGAAAAATCGCTTATTATATTTCCTTTGCGGTATAATATTAATATAAATAAGCTTTAGTAGACTTTAGTAGTAAAGAGATTTAGCCCGGATTTACAATAGATTTTTAAGCCTTAAGCCATAAGAAATGGACGAATCGCAATCGATTATTCTCCTCGCATTCGACTGTAATTGGTCAATTTCTTACGGCTTAAGGCTCGTAACACCTATTGTAGATCCGGACTTACTGAAATTTACATAAATTCCTTTACTTTATTTTATCGAATCGACGCGTAAAGAAAGTATTCTCTTCAAGAGACTGGTATCGTTGATTTGCCGATGTTATCGGTCACCTTACGAGATCATAAAATAAAATGACCATCAGTTATCGTCTACGAAACGTCATCCTGCCGTTAAATGTTTCAACCGTTGACCTAGCATGATATAAGAACGTAGTACTCGAGTACCTGTCGGCTATTGTCTACAGTGATGAAATTGTGCTTGGCTTGAGAGTCATAAAAGAAGTTTTGTAGTAAGTACATGACATAATAGTTCCAAGTCAAACGATACGCGCGTATCTCATAAACTACTTTCGTCCTCTGTGTTTTTTGGATCATCCGTGACGGTTGTTGAGTCTTCAGCATAATGACCTCTTTAAGGTTCGCTGTCTGTACGTCGATGGTCACTTTTCCTCAAAGAGGTCATATCTGTGCTTTTAATGTCATCTCACACGCTTGACTAACCGCCGGCGGTTACCTAGCTCTTCGTAGGCACGAAGTGGAAACAGATGTCTTCTTCTCAAACGAGGTCATCCTTATTCTTATGCATGTAGCGCATTTATGTGTAAAGGAAAAAATCTTTTTACAAATATAATTGCTTTCTGTCGTCTCGTGTGTATATCTGGGAATTTATTAGCGCAGTTAGATTTCGTAAAATGTCTCAAAACTTATGTAAATTATATTTTTTCTTATCCCAATATGAGAGAGAGAACGTTAACTTTTACAATATTTGTTTTAGAGAAAATCAAGATAAAGAAATTATATTTTATGTAGAAAGTCGGATAATGTTTTCCTAAGATTTTGTCTAATAGATTTATAATGTAATATAGGTAAATCACATGTCATCATATTAAATAAATTACTGTTAGTAAATTGTTGGTAAATTTTGAGATAATAATACTTTATCCATTATTAGAACATATTCTTTTATAATTTCGATATTAATTAATAGAATTTAGACATGTGACTTTTATTTAAACGTTTTTAGTTAGAAGAAACATTTTCCGTGATTAGGACATAATTACTTATAATTTTACTAACTAAGAATGACCTAGTCGATGATCGAAATGTCTGTTTTTAATTGTAAGGACGCAATAGCAATTAAGAACTTGCTGTTGCTCTTAGCCCTTTTCTATTATACAAACTTCATTTTACTTAATTAAGCATCGTTTTTTGAATATTAATAATAATGCTTGCTTTCATATATGTCAGAATTACATTTTTAATATCGATCGGTAATGTTATATATATATATATATGTCTACTTATTAAACAAGCTAACGTTATTTGTCGACATTTTGACGTCAAAATAATGATATGACGTTTATTAAAATAATCTATGGTTCAATAATAATATAAAAATTTTCTAAAAATAGAACTATTAAAATAATTTTAATTGATAAATAATTTATTATACATATAGTATGTATTACATTCTTTAATTATTTGAAAGAAGAAATCGATGCAAAAAATATTCACTATTATCTTAGTTTATTATTATTATCAGTTTGTACTCTTTTGTCCATTTACATATTTTTTGCAAATTCATTTTCGCTAATGCTGTAGCTTCTATAAATATATTTTTCTTAAAAATTTATAATTTTCAAACATGAGCATATCTAAAAAACGTCATAAAGATGGGACATACATGTCTAAAAGACATCTGAAAGACATCATAAAGACATCTTCTAGACAATGCGTGTTGCCTGGAATAATTTTATCTAAAATTATCTTTTCGCTTTTGAGAGAGGTTATCGACAGACACTAATGATGAATTCGATACCAGTAAATTCATTGTTATTTCAGTCGATTTTTTAAGAAAATGTATTATCTATTCATGATTCAACGTTCAAATTGGACGTCGGCGATATTTTTTATTATATTTATGTTTTTGATACCCCATTTTGAGATATTGCGAATACCGTATTATTTGTTCCTTCACTGTTATTAACATTATTTTTACTTTGTTCTATTCAGTCTTTCACTTTACTGGAGAATGTCGTTTCTATGGATTCTTACTGAAGATTTGTATTATATTCGTGTTCTGTCTATGCTTCTGCACGTGAATTGGATAACGATGCTGCCATTGTTACGCCACTTTGATGTTCGTCTTTGATAACGCTGGTGCTCGTTTCTTTTTGCTGACATAGTTATATATTTTTAACATTTGCAAAGTTATTTTTTTATATATCTATTTTTGTTTATAATGCGCGCCTCACAACATGAATTCTTGACGTTGAATTCTTTTATACAAAATCAACTTTGTACATCTTGTCGTACATTTTTAAGATTATTAAAAATCGCGAAAATGACTGATTTTTATAAGTTTGCAATAATTTCCTTGTTTTTTTTTTTAAAGATTATTTAAATTCTTTATTTTTGTCTGTGATTTTGCATAGGAATTATGTCACTAAATCTCGCATTAATTTATCTTGAAATTTGTTTTAAACTTTTTAAACTGGAAGACATCGTCTTCACTGACATCGCGACGCTCGAAGAAACTTTCCAACTTCCTTTTATAATATCGCTAATACGTTCGTGTTCCGTACATGAGTTGAATGACGTTACCTCTTCCATAACTTTAGACATGCATTTCGCATTTTGTGGAGTTGGTTTTTTCTGTCGACAACAGCATGCGAGTAATTATCTTGTCTTTCTTTCAAACATTTAAATTATTCTGTTGCGGTTGTGATGTATCATCCTTCGTGTCACTTTTCGTGTCACTTTTACGTTCATTTTTTTGCTATTTTTTATGTATGTCACTTGCTATGACGGCTATGATAGTTGTGTTAGTCAGGTTTATTATTCTTTTTATGCTAGCTGTGTTATAGAATTTACATGCATTGGAAATAATCGTTCTCAATTTTTTTTCACACCAGCGTTATTAATAAATTTCTCTCATTTTCCAAATTGTCCTTAATAATTAATTCTAATTCAATTATTTCTGAACTTATGATATTTTAATATTTATATTTCTGCACTGCGATTATCAATATCGATCATTTCTGTAAATGTATTGTATCAATGACTTTTCTTCAGTCTCATCAGTTTGCTTTTGGTTTTTATATATTTTCTTCACGAAGATTATCTGACAATACAATCCTGAAATATTCACGCTTATTGTTAATTGAAGTCGCTGTATTTGCATTATTGATGGTAACTTCTTGATTTTTTTTCTTTTAATTCTGACTTTCTGTCAACGTTTTTGTATTTATCGAATGTTTGATTGCGATTGAAGTGATAGTTGAATATTGATATATCCGCTAATACTGTGAAGGACTTTCTGATTTCCCATTTTGAGTGCGCGTGAGATAGCGATATATAGACTGATAGTGCATCGGCCAGTGGATGATTTTTAATTCCACTAAAACCCATCTCAATCTCCGTTGACGTTGCATCATATTATCTATTATAAGATGAGTCCTTCCTAGAATGCTATAGTTGTGTTCAATTTTCATTTTAACTGTGGCCGATCCATCATCGACTAATGGCAACGCAAATTATTTGTATGCTTGCTCCCTTTTTCATCAGATAAACTCGACGAGAATGACATCGCATTGTTGGCGACAACACTCTGATCTCTCAAGCGATAATGCTCGATATCCATCTTCACAGCTTTCGCGGAGACACGCTCATGGAAATTTTTGTTATTAACATGTTCCTTTTTTTTCCTAACTTTTCTCATCGTTTCCATCGATGTGAAATAGATAGTAAAGCGTTGAACTCCATTGATGTTAAAATGTTTATTTTTATTCATATATTTTTTATTCCTGTATACCCGTTTTATTTATTTATTTTCATATTTTTTTCATGATGTAAATCAGTCGAAAGTGTTCAAGTATAAAATTCGACAAATTCGTTGTTTTTGTGTTTTAATCAAGATAATAAACCTATTTATTAGAAGCAAAATGTTATCGATTTTTAAATTGATGTTCATATGCTCGTTTTATTTTTATATCCTTGTTTCCAACAAATTAGACTGCTATTTTTTTTCTCGCTATCTAGACTTGGAATATTAAATCCAATTTTGTCACAAAATATTCGTTATTGAAATTTCCTCTCTGATGGCTGCATGTGAAAATGATCATACCTATATTTCACGTTTTGTTTCAGGTTCGAATAATTTTCGAAATATAAACTTTCTTATATTTTTCTCTCTCGTCCCTATCTTGAATTCATACGTTCTGTGGCATGAGAGGCATGAGATGCATAAGCTGTGGATGAATCTGCGTCTGTCCATTTTATGTGTTTCCATTTTGATATACCGTTTCCTGTCTTTTTATTTACCTTCTGTTACACGAAAGTGCATACACTATGCATATACCTGTGAAGATGCATGTCGCAGTCCGGTATTCTCTTCATACCGTCGTAGGATAACGATCCGTGCGTGTCGTGCGATACCATAGGTTTATGAAGCATTCCAATTTGTCTCGTAAACATGCTTCTCTCCCGAGGTAATCTGCAGTTTAGGCGCGATACATGTTTCTGATATTCCGATTTATGCAATAACTTCGTATACGACCAATCAGCATTGTATTAACTACTGTGGAATCAGATGGCGTATTAAACATTTATTTTGAGATATAATGAACGGATATCGAGATGTATTAGTTTGAATTCTTAATGCAGAAAAATAAGCGATTTTTTTCCGTATATACATTCAAAAATTTTCAAAACGTTTTGTTATTTTTATGTATCGATAAAATGAAAATAATGGAATTGACTAAAGATTAAACTAAACAAGACCAATTTGCTAAAACAAAATTATAGTTGTCACACAAACTTTTTTTATGCTGCTTTAGCAGCTCTTATTTTTGCTCAAATTATAAAAATATAGCAATCCGTCTGTTGCAGTAATCTTTTTTTTTTTTCGAATTTCAAGCGTTATTTTTTGTGTAATTTAAGCAAATGTCTGGATATATTTGCTCGGCTCTCTTTATGTGAATTAATTTGCGGAAGAATTGACAGATATTTTCTTTTATTTACATGTGATTTAACCTACATTTACGAGTATATTTGTATAGCTTAATTTATCACTACTATCCATACTAGATGGAAACTACTTAGATGAAATAATATTCTAATAGAAATAAAAAAAGTATAGGAGAGAAAAATAAATCATTAAAAAAGCTTAATTTCTTTTTTCATTTCTCAATGAAACATCAAAAACTGTTACGTGTGTCGCAGTATTTTTATACTCTTTCTAGCAAATGTGAAAATATTTTCTTTTGCAAAGTTAAAATATCATTTTAAATTATCCTTTTATGTACGGTTTGGTTTGGTTATTTGATCTTATTTATTTATATAAAATTTCTCCGATTATATGTAGATTTTTCTTTACACTTTGAAATTTATCTTTTGGATAAGTCAATTAAGAAGCGGCAGTTCGAGATATATCGTTTTAAATCATTACTCGTTATACATTTAAAACTTGCGAATGCATTTAAACATAATTTTACGAGTATGCGAGTTGCGTAAAAGCAACATCAACTTACTTAAGTATAACATAAACTTTAATCGAGTACACTCATCCGGTAAAGATGAAGAAACTTATGTAACAGTTTGCTTGAAGAGATTTCGATGCAGTAGCGTCGGATTTAACGAGAATTTAAACTATATTTATCAAGAAATATCCGAAGTAATATATGTCTTATATTCTTTTTTAGCAACAAAGGCATCCGCCTCTTGTTCTTGGTTGGATGTTCCTGGTGCTGCCGTTCCTACCTGCATCCAATCTTTTTGTCACTGTGGGTTTTGTCGTGGCAGAACGGGTTTTATATACACCAAGGTAATTTTATTAAGGTTTATATTTTACTTTTACAATTATTGCAACGGATGGCATAAATTCTCGATGTGATTTTACAGTGTTGGGTGGATTATTTTGGTCGTCTACGGCATGCAGGTGAGCTGGACCGCTGTACCACGACGGAAAAGCTGGATCACTACAGGCGTAGTTCTTCTATTCATTTTAGGATGTTTCAGAACGGTTCTTCGGAATAAGGATTGGACATCTAGAGAAACTTTAATCAAGTACGTGACAACGGATTTACGTGTCTCATGTTTTATTAACCGTTCGAGAAGAGAAACTTCCTTGCTTTGAATAAAGTCTTCGTGCTAATAGTAAACATAAATAATCGTTCATACATTGCACGCAATCATATCTGAGCCTCGCAATTACGACAAAAATGATTTTGTCACGCGAAGACATCGTGGACATTTACGGGGAGTGTCTAGTTCTGACTTAAACAAGGAGATTGGCATCGTGCCCGTGTGTGCGTGCGTCTGTGTGCGTTGTATATATATATATATATATATATATACGTTCAAGAATTTGGTACAAGCGCCGATTGCTTATGTATAGGGACTTAGAGACACAAAACATAACTAACATAGATATGAGATGACGAGGGTGGTAGGAGTCATGTCGAGGTCAAGAGGATGGTTTCGTCTGACCTCAAATCGTCTTGTTTCAGAGCGGGACTGCGGTCTCTACCCTACAATGCCAAGATGCATTACAACTTCGCAAACTTCCTTAAAGACACGTCGCAGCCGAACCTTGCGGTTCACCATTATCAGTTGGCTCTCTGGTAAGTCTATTTCTCTTTCTCGCGCACGTATACAAAATCTTCAGATATATCTTGGGATAAAAGTGATATTCATTTGCTCGCGGAAAAATACATATACCTAATTATGAACGTTTAAGCGCTTTGATATGTTAATAATCGGGAGAATATAGATTTGAAGGCATTTTATCATAAATTATTATGTAATAATTACTTAAAACACAAAGATTACATTATTTTATCTATATATATGATATGATATGATATATATTTTATGTACATATTTTGTACCTCACACTTTAGTAATTCTACTTTTTATTAATTAATAAGAGTATTTCGTCAGATTGTCTATCGAATTTTGAAGTTTTATCTTCATAAATGCTTCTCATTGTATTATATTTGTGTATGAATTATCTTATTCGATTTTTTTTCTTTAATATGCTCTAAATATTACACTGTAAAATTGATTATATTTCGATACATATCTCATCAGTTTATCATTTCCCGATAAATATGTTTTTGCTGTGACAGTCATCTATAAAATAAGCGGTTTTCGCATAAAAAATATAATTTCATATAAAAATTCATTGAAATGTACATATAATATATAATAATGAAAGACATATCGATTTTGATGCAGTTGATAATTCAAACAATAAAATTTATCATTTTATATAACATCAAATTTTATGGAATTAGTACATTAACACTGTGTAATGTGAGAGCGTAACGTTTTTCATAAAGATATTATACGTAACTATATTTACTTCAAGTTGTCAAATTCCAAAAAAGTAAGAAAAATAGACATATGAACCATTATTTCCTGATAAATGTTTTTGCCGTGACAGTCCTTTATGAAATAAGCGGTTTTCACATAAAAAGTGTAATTTTATATAAAAGTACGTTGAAATGTACATAATATGCAATAAGTAATAATGGAAGACACATCTATTTCGATGCAGTCGATAATTTAAGCAATAAAATTTATCATTTTATAAAACATCAAATTTTATAGAATTAGTACATTAACACTGCATAATGTGAGAGCGTAACGTTTTTCATAAAGTTATTAATTATTATACTTAACTATATAGATTTTTTTTTCAAGTTGTCAAATTCCAAAATATTAACAAAAATAGGCGTATCAATTATCATTTATAGCAATACACTAACTCGCCACAATTAAATAATTTAAACATACAAGTCTCGCAAACCCGAATCATATTTCATGCAGACAATTACAATCATATATTTTCTCAAAATAGAACGAAAACAATTTTTTTAAGTACTTAAGTAAAAATATTCTAAATATTATATTAAAAATTTTGATGATATACACAAATACATAATAGCAAAAATATATAAAATACTTATATAACACATATACAGCTTGTAGTTTATATTTCAAATCTTCCCAATAATTATATAATTATAAAACTTAACATGTATGTTAAGTTGTCGCTATTACAAATTTTAGTTCGCTCAAAATAGAAGTAGGCCAAATATTACGAGGAAGTTATTTATTATAAATGCACAAGATAGATATTCTGATTACAACTACAGTTTACTAAAATAAAGTAATAGAATTACGTGAAAAGTGATTTTCGAGGCGCTGTACTGTTAAATTCGTAACGCCAAATTATATTCGATTCAAGTTATTTTTCATTATTTCTATGGGTCACGCCACTGCTTCTATTCAATATGTTGTTAATTTAATTAAAATTAATAAAATTAAATAATTTAATTAAAGAAAATGTATTAAATTTGACTCAAAGTTAGTTTATTATTTACTAAATGCACGTTAATTAAAGACGTTATTTACTTTGAAACTAACCATAAAAATAAATCGATTTTGATATACATTAAAGTTAAAAATATTAAAGTATTACTTTTAATTCAAGAGGGATTGGATTACCATTGATATCTAACTTTTTTGATATCTAACAGTGTAAACTTGTCTGATGATTATTTGAATAGCAAGCCACATGAAAAAAATGTCCTGTTGTTATTGTTTTATGTTTGATGAATACGCTAAATTAAGCTTTATTTCTAAGAATAATTTTAATTAATTTAATTGCTAAGCCATTTGCGTAAAGTGTGTACACCTCGTATATTTTTCATACGTGTTTGGTGACATTTCTGAATAATTTGTATAGCTATTTTAGATATTCTATCCCACAAATCATTTTGAAATTTTCTGTTATTTTATAATCCGTTGCGAATAATTGCTTTAAAAAAGATTTGTAATTATCAATCGATATTCTATAGAAAATCTCCCGTTTATTCCATATTGTACTTACGTATCAATTTTGACAAAAATTATGGATGAGTGGAGGTCAAACACGTATTCATGAATATGAATGTTGTTTTGTAAAAGAATGTATTGTTAGGGTACACATACGCCTGTATCCTGTACGGTTTTATAACTTTTATAGAGAATATCGCTATGAAAGGGCAGAAAAAGTAATTAAGAAGATTTATTTATAAATTTCAGCATTACTGAGGAATTTTAATCAACTTTCGGCTTCATACCGTCTGTAACTTTGTAATAATTCTTTCATCTTTGGAATAGATATATATAGACGGTAAAATTAATGCATAAACTCGACGGCACAATATAATTGCAAATCCATTATTTGCATTTTTTTAACTACACCCGCCAATGCTTGTTTTTTACTTTAGAGTTTTCACAATTTCCATGAAATAATGTTATCACAAAAATCTTTCGAAATAATTACATTTATATTGCATTATGTTATTTTATTTCATCTCCATCTTCACTTTTTTTACCTTTACGAGTTACGATCTATTTTCACTTACTTAATATGTATTCCTTCGTGCATAACATGATAGAACAGGCGGAATATTATACAAAAGTAGTCGACGTAATACAATCTTATTACCACATGCAGACTCTTCTCTCTGCTTCAACCACCCTTTTCCACATCGCATTTCTCGTGCATAGCGTGAGCAGGGTCGCAGCAAACCGACAAAAGTGCATTAATTAGCCGTAGCTCGACTGCGCTCGAAATGAAGTGGTAACCAGTCGTTCGTTTTTTTTTTATTTCGCTTCTCCCCCTCTTCCCCCTCCCTCCCCCCCCTCTTCTTCTTCTCTGCAATCTCTCCGCATCTCTTCCTATGCTCCTGTCTGCGCGCTTTTTACCCCACGTGTGTTTCGCGAATTTCGTTATTCCGTCCAGCACAAGAAATGCTCGACGAAGGATCATAGCGGCGCAAAAAATAATGGTCTCTGTTGGATAAATAAACGTGTTCTCATTTTAAACTTCTATGTACTTTCGCGATGTGTCATGCGATTCATCATCAGGCAATCGTCTGCGGTGTACCAATAAATCGGATCCCCGTTTTTCACACACGTTGCCATACGCGAGCGGTACGTGTATTTCGCAACATCACGCTTAGATTGTTTCATCGTAATATCAGATTATTTGTCTACGCGAATGCAATCAGTCCGGTAAACATATCGAGAGAATGGTGATGTGGTGCAGGAAAAAAACACAGGATAGATGAGGAGGGGGAGGGGGATGAAGGGGGAGAGAATTGGTCGGCACGACAGCAGCTGCAGCCGGTGCGTTGCAGAGCAGAAGCGGGTGGGCGACTGCCGGAGTGCCGGATGAAAATTGCATTTCGGCGTTATACCCGCGCTCGTCCAGTTCGCTCACTTGTAGATCTCATTTCCTACGCTGAGCTTTCTAGCCGTTCTATGCAGGTCGCACTTCTTTTTTTTTTGTCTTTCTCTTTCCCTCTCCTTCTATACTCTGGCTCCTCTTTTTCCCACCACTTTCCGTTACCATCTCTGCATCGCGTCCTGCGGATCGACTATTATTGGGTCTGAAAAATCGAATCTTCAACTAACTGGCAATTTCCTCCGCTTGTTTTGCGCACCAAATCATCGCATCGTTCGCTGTTTCAGTTGACGCATAACGCGGCGCGGTGTGAGACATAGATTGGAAAAAGACTGCCTTTCTTCTCGTTTACCTCCTCCTTGAAACAACATTTTACGGCAGCAACGTGCGATTCCATAAAACTCCGCTCGAGAATAATGGCTCGATCTTTTTCGTGCATCTCGCGTTTCTACCGTTTCGCTACGTACCTCGTTCATTGCCTCCAACATTCCGCTTTAGTTTTGATCCTCGCGCGACGAATTAGTTTTCGATCTGTCGTACGAAATTTCCCCGAGGAGAGTCACGACAAAGTTTCTGCTCCCTCCGGAATATCGTGCCGAGTAAGTAATTTAAAGTAGCCTGAGATTGACCTGGTCCGTGCACGAGTAATAATTGAGCGTCACCGGAAGAACATAGAGTTCTCCCGAGGTGTTCACTCCAAGGCCTTTCGCGCCCGCGCCTCTTCCTCTCTTTTTCTCTCTGTAGCGCTTATTGCATTTGTGGAAAGAATGGCGCGAGGTGTCTTGAGAATTACGAGCGAAAGATAAAAAGGAAGATGCGGAATGAAATGAGAAGGAAAAGACGAGCATATTCGATCGATGGAACGTCATAGAATCGAGGAAAACGCGACTTTTCTGTTTGCTTTTCATTCACCGAGAAAAGCAGACCGCGTATCGTGAAAATGCATTTCTTCGCTCTCTTTCATTCGTTTCTCTTCCCTCTTTCCGATTATTTTGGTACATAGTCGCGTTACTTCTCAGCTTTCCACTTTTTCGTCCTCTTGGTCGATAGCCATGAATACTAGAACTTCATGATTTGCTGCTTTTCTTATGTTAACAAATCTATTTTATTGTACAATTTTGCGTGCATTTTTTGTGTGTGCGTAAAAAGTATAATCTTTGTGAGCTCTTAATCTTTTATCTCAATAATAATGTACATGCGCGCGCGTATCTGTAATTAAAAATATGTTTTTATTTTCTATCTCTTTTATTATCTGGTTTCTTAAATTAATTTTTACCTTTTATATTTAACTTTTAATCTAATTCGTGTCTTAGTTTCAATTTTATTATTTTTTCATGTTTAGGTTGTTAGATAGTATATTACCGATGCTTCACATTTTGT